CTCTGGGAAGAGGTTTTCCCCCTTTCTCTCCCACTGGATAAGAGTGAGGAAAATTGTTGCTGTTGGCAGCCATATTGCAACCATGAGTAAGACAGCCAGAGGAAAAACGGACGCATGAAAGAATGAGGGAAGGAAAGAACATGGGTTTTTGATGACACAACTAAATCAAACAACCCTCTAGTTGGGTTTCTTGTTTTGTGAGATAATACATTTCTCTTTAAGCCAGCTTAAGTCAACCTCTATTTTTTTGCAGATACAGTACCTATATGGATTGATGGACTCCTTTCAGTCTCGCCAAGGCCAGACAGTGGTCTTCAGTCCACTGGGTGGGCTGAAATAGTGGTTGAGAACCACTACTTTTGACTACTTTTCATTTTAAACTATCTATTGGTTTTCCATGGGTTACTTGTGGAGGATGTTGTTGCATATTGTTTCTGTGATACTATTCTTTTGATTGACACAGCACTTTACAGGTATTTATTATTTATGCCTCATCCTAGATGGATCTATAACTCAGAGGGATTATCTCCAAGTGAGACCTTGCAGTAGAGCAAGTCAAAACACGTCCAAAGTCACCTAAGACGTCCATGACTGAGCTGAAAATACTGTGTACTTCATACGTACTCCTCGGATTTCTAGTTCTAACCTGATGAAGGGAAAAATTCAAGTCATCTAAAAAGAGAAAACCATGGTAGTTTTGAAAAATAGAAATCTTTAGTGCTGCCTTCCTTTGTTCTCTTTTTCAAGAGCGGGGGATTATATATATGTTTTATCTTACTGACTCCTCTTTGCTAGTTCATGTTCATAACCTCTAATTGATTTAAACTAAAAACCACATTTAAAAACCCGCTTGTGGCTCCTGGTGGAAAGAGCTTGCCGAGGAAGGAAGTAGGGTTGCCTCACAGGAAGGAGACCAGGGTGCCCAATGTCCCAAGGATTTTAACCAAGTGTTTGAGGGATTGTTCAGAAAATCACCAGGTAATTGGTCTAAGCATTCATGAAATATTTCTTATTTGACCACAATTATGAGAAATTAACAAAAAGGAATGCAATTTTTCAACCAACACTATACAAAGTCTTGTGCTGGGTGCTGGTGCGATAAAAAGATGAGTAAGATACAGCGATGACATTTATATTGTCCTTAGAGAAAGAAGACTAATGCGAAACAAGTAGCCAATCATTTTAGGCTGCAGATAATTAAATGCTAAAGTTGCACGGTACAGAATAAGTGCTATCAGCACACAGAGATGGAGAGCTCAAGATGAGCTATTGTGGTCAGGAGAGGCTATTTTATGGAGCAGATGAGCTACACAGGATGGCTTGGGTTTGGATGAACTCTCAAGGTGAGAAAATTGGGGCAATTATGATACTGTGTTTAAAAATTAAGTCAATGTTAATCAGAAGTAATTTTTATTTCAAACACTGTTGTTGAAATTTTTCCTAAAATGTATTAATACATGAGCATCTGAAATTGTTTTCTTTATTTTAGAATACTTCAAAATTAAACAGAAAAAAATTTAAATGTATTTGCACATTTTCTTCCCTAGGAAATAAAAGCATTGGACATTTAATAGGTTCATTTATTCATTCACTAAATATTTATTGAACACCTACTGTGAGCCAGCTAAGGTTCTAAGTGATGAGCAAAACAGATATGCCTCACTGATGGTTGAAATCTTAGTCGAGAAGATCAACAACAAACAAGTAGTTAGAAATGCTTTAAAGGAAAAGAACAGGTACAAAATCTGCTTAGGTAGGGCAGTCAGGGAGGGCTTCTCTGGATAGGTAATGTTCAACTGAGACAAAGAATGAGAGGAGCCAGCCCTGCGAAGTGGGGAGACAGCTTCAGGCAGATCCCCAGGCTGAGTTTGAGGTACCCAAGAGTATTAGCCAGGATTCTCCAGAAACAGAACCAGTAGGATACAGATCTACCATCTATCTATCTATTATCTCCCTCTCTCTCTCTCTCTCTCATCAATCAATCTATCTATCTATCTATCTATCATCATCATCTACCTCCTACTTTATTTCAAGGGATTGGCTTACATGATCTTGGGGGTTGGAAAGTCCAAAATCTGTAGGACAGGCTGGTAAACTGGAACTCTCAGGCAGCAGCTGGTGCTGTAGACTTAAGGTGGAATTTCCTCTTCCAAGAATCCTCAGTTTTGCTCTTAAGGCCTTTCAACTGATTGGATGAGGCCTAACCACATTGTCGAGGGTGATCTCCTTTACTTTATGTCAACTGATTGTAGAAATGAACCACATCTACAAAATACCTTCCTAGTAAGACCTAGATTAGTGTTTGATTAAATAACTGGCTACTATGGCCTTGCAAGATGACACATAAAACTGACCATTACAGCAGGAAACCATTACATCTAGCACTGTGTCTGGAGCGTGGTGAGATGGGGGAAGGAAACCAGATAAACTTGGGAAGCTTGGCAGGGGTCTCAAGGCCAGCATACAGGGTTTAGCTTTTATTCAAAGTGCATCAGGCAACTCCAGAAATGTATTAGCAGGGGTGGAGAGTTCATTCACCATATAGGCAAAAATCCATATTTTATTGTTTTTTATATCCACTGACAATCAGTGGGATCCAAATTTAAAAAATAAATGACTCTGGCTGCTCTCTGGAGAATAACATAGGGAGTGTATTAGTCAGGGTCCAGTCAAGAGGCAGAAACCACACCAGCAATTTGAACAGGGAACATTTAATATGAGGAGTTGTTAACTAGCTACAAGGTGGTTAACCGTAAAAAAGTGTAGAAGACTCTAAGGTATACACAGGTAGCAACTGCAGAGAGCAGCTTCTCAGGCTGAGGGAAAGGTAAGCAAGGAAGGAACTTAGAAACTTAGAGGAGGTCCTGCAAGTCTGAGATTCAGACTCTGATGAGAAGGTGTGGCTACTGCGGGAACAAGCTGCCTGCCTCTGGTGGCAAGAAGAAACTTGCTGGGGGCTGCTCACTGGTACCATGAGAACCTCAGCTGCTTTGAGGGAACACTGCAGGTACCAGCTAGACTCTGCACCCCTTTCTGCCACCTTAAAAAACAAAAACAAGAATAACATTCCCGTCTCTCTCCTCTAGCCTTGCAGATTCTGTCCAGCACCCTCTTTTGGCAGAGCCTAGCATCACGTTGGCTGGCAAAGACAAAATGTGGTTTGCAGAGTCTGGCTCTAGTATCACAAAGTAGGGCAAAGGAAGGTGAGCTTGGGGCTGAGAGGCAATAAATTGATAACTGGCAGGAGGACAAGGATGGACATGGGGGGCTGGTTAGGAAGCTATTGCAGTGGTCCAGGGAAGGCTTGATGGGGCCTAGATGAGGGTGGTGGCAGTGCAGTTGGAGAAGTGGACTCATTCAAGTTATCTCTTGGGCATAGGCACTCAAAAAATGTTAGTTTGCCTCCTTAATCATTCATAAGAAGAGAATATTGAAAATAAGAAAATTCTACAGTATGATTCAGGTTCTTGACATTCCAGAAATAATTCCAAACATGAAGTCTTAGTAGCAGTGTTCACTAATTCATTTATTTATGTAGTGAAAGAAATCAAGAAGACATATTAAATGGAGAGATATTCCATGTTCATAGATAGGAAGGCTCAATATTGTTAAGATGTCAGTTATTCCCAACTTGATCTATAGATTCAACGTAATCTCAATCAAAATCTAAGCAAGTTATTTTATGGATATTGAAAAACTGATTCCAAAGTTTATATAGAAAGGCAAAAGACCAGACTATCCAACACAATATTGAAAGAGAAGAAGAAAGTTGGAAGACTGATGCTACCTGACTTTAAGACTTACTATAAAGCTATAGTAACCAAGACAGTGTGGTATTGGTAAAAGAGTAGACAATAGATCAGTGGAACAGAATAGAGAGCCCAGAAATAGACCCACACAAATGTAATCAACTGATCTTTGACAAAAGAGCAAAGGCCATTTAACAGAGAAAGGATAGTCTTTTCAACAAACGGTGCTGGAACAATTGGACATCCACATGCCAAAAAAAAAAAAAAAAAAAATCTAGACATAGATATCTATTCATGCAACAAACATTTACTGATTTCTACTATTCCATACCTACAGGCAACCCTTGTTCTTTAAAATGGCTTGCTGCACCTAGTTAAATGAGCGTCATTCTCAACTATGACATTCCAGGCAAGACCTTGATTGCATAATTGATTCTTCCAACTAAAGGGGAGCAGAATACAATATCCTAAAATATGCCACTTTGGCATATTGATTATTTTGAATTAAATTTACAGCCAGTGCAAGGACACTCTGACCCTCCTTTGTCCCTCTGAAAGCAGGAAATAAATCTCTCATGTGAAAGGTACCCTCCCTGTTCCAGGAGGGTAGAAGGCACTCTTATCACCAGAGATAGGGAATTTAGGACTGAGAAGACTGTATAAACAAACCTTGTTATTTCTTCACTAGTTTACTACCCTAAACCCAAATCTCTTTGTCTTTTCTATTCTTCATGAATTTACTGTTTCTTTGTCTAAAAATATAAAACCTTCCTGCTTTGGTTACTTCTTTGAGTCTCATAGTTTTATGGGCCTCCCATACATACAAAATCAAATTTGTTTTTCTCCTGTTAATCTGTCTTGTGTCAATTTAATTGTTAGAGCAGCCAAAGAACCTAGAAGGGAAGAAGGGAAACTTTTTCCACCCCTTCACAGGAGCCTATCAGGCAGATTGCCTAGTTAGTGCTGATTAGGCAACGCCTGATTGACTGATTTAAGATTCCATTTCTGGGATAGACAAAACTAATTAGGTCTTGGTTTAGTGAAGTGGGGCTTAGAATAACTGACTCCATTTTGGGCCTATTGTTATATTTTTAACAATGGATAACACAAACTAAATGGTCATCGCTAATTTATTACTGATATTCTTCAAATGTGAAACGTCTAATGAAGTTCGTAATATGAATAATACAACTGACAAAGAAATTTAGTTTTCTGTGCAAAACAAAGACAAAAAAAGCCTCTTCGCCAACCTCAGCCATATTGACAACCCACCCAGGTAGGAAGCCCTGAGGTTCCATGGATTCAGCCACAGGAAGGAGAGGGGGCGGAGAAATGTCCAAATCTAGCCCTCAGCTAAAGCAAATAATAATGGCTTGAAGCTTAAAATAGATCCAGGGAGGAGCTCATTAACAGGCATACAAAGCAATTCAGCACCCCTGGAATTTCTTATTCTGGAAATTGCTTTGGTCCGTTTTTACTGCCTTCTATTCATCAGAGGAGAAAATACAAACCTTTAGTAACATGGTCATCACATCTGACAATGAACTAATTTAGACCAGCCAAAATAATTGTTTGACAGGGACACAGGACTTCAACCTCAGTTCAGAAAATCCCTGACATCTGACGTAGGAGGATTTATAGGTTTAGTGGAAATTGCTTTCTCCTGCTCTCCAGATTACATACTGTGGGTTGATTTTTTTTGCATGAGTAAACATCCTTCTAATAATGAACAGACCAATAACGTCCTAAGAGAGAAAAAGAACATCCTTTTCCTCTTTGCTGTTTCCTGAGGGAACTGTTTGGATTTGGAAACCCATGTTGCCTGTCCAGAATATGAAAGTTGGCATCTTCCTTTTGTGGTGGGGATGGGTTTTGGCCGCTGAAAGCAGAGTGCACTGGAAACAAAGAGAAGTACCCGAGATGTCTAAGAAAGGCAGGTGAGTGGACTTCCAGGGATGGGGGACTTAGGGAAAGAAGGTGTGCAGAGCAAGCTTATGATATTATTCTGGAATCATTTCCAGTATGTGGTGTTTTCTGTGGATGCCTTTTTCCTCCTTTCCTTTTGTTCTCCTGTCTCCGCTTTTTTAGGAAGTTAAAATTATGTTTTCTTTTTAAATCATGCTAGATCAGATACAGTGTTATCATTATGTATTCCTAAATCTCTTATGAATTGCCCTAGGTGAAAGACAGATTCTGGAAAAAAGAATATAAGCACTTTTTAAAAATAATTGAGGACAATTATTTGATATCTGCATCCTAGTTTGGAACAAATCTGCGAATTGTCAAGCAACCAATGGGACCTCTAATTAGTGAGAATGATTCTGTTAGTTCTAATTATTTCTGCTAGATTTTTGGGTCTTGTTTAAAATCTTTTAAAAGAAAACAAAGCAGCTTTCTTTAGGCTGTATGGCTAGAAGGATCTTAGATTGTCCCCTACTAGTAAATTGGGAAGGTGCAGGGATGGACCTGCCTGCAGACCAGCCGTTTTCACGTTGCCAGCACCGTACGTGCTGCTCTGGCCGTACCAAGCCAGCGAGGAGGGAGCTTAGACAGAGCCAGACTGTCCCTCCGGCAGGCGGACTCACTCAGGCGGCTCCAATGACAGCACTGGTTAATGTAAGTGCACGCCTACACTCTTGCGTGCCTGACATTCATCAATAAAATAGGATATTTGGAGAAAACCTAATGCAGCTCTCCCTCTCTACCGATGAGGAAACGGAGGCAGTAAGGGCATTCTTGACTCTCGGTTCTTTATCAATCTTAGGTCCAAATTGAGCTTCATCTTTCTTTATCTCTGGATGTGAATATAAATAGAGGCTGGAGATACCAATTAATATGAAAGGAAATCCAGCTTTCTGGAGTTGGGGACTCGTGAGAGGGCTGGGTGTCCAGCTCTTCAGTGCCCTGCTCCTGGGTTTAAGAAAGCCCTCCACACACGGTCTTCTGAACAGCCAGCTATGGCTGACAGTACTCATTTCCAGCTGTTTTAGCAACATCAGAAGTCTAGGAGCTGAAACATCCAGTGGTCGTGGCGAGTCCTGGGCACTGAGAGAGGCTGCTGTGCATAAGCCATATGCCCTGCTTCTGTCCCAGTGAGAATTGCTTGGGCAAACAATGGAATTTGTGGAGTGGTGTAGCCATTGAGATTATTTGAACCAAATGTGCTCTTGAGGATTAAAAGCAACAATAGCAACAAACCTTATTGGTTGTCATCAAAAACTTCTCACCTTCTTTCCTAAGCCAGAATTAAGAGTGGCGATCTGTTGGTAAATACCAATGATGAGGAGAAGTCCCAGAGAGTGGAATAGATTTCCTTTAAAAAAATTAATTAAAAAAAAATTACTTAAAAGAACTTCCATTTTTTTTATTCTGAAAGACATATATGACCATTATTTAAATTTTTAAAAAATGGGAAAAAAGTTTTAAAAACACATAAAAATCACCCATAGTCCCCAAACCCTGAAATAACCTTATTAACTTTTTTGTGTATTTTCTTCCAGTCTTTTTTTTCTAAGCATATATTGAATATTAGCTAGTTTGGGATTATGCTATGCATATAGTTTTGTAATCTTAGTGTATTTGATATGATTTTGTCTGTATGTTTACTTATTTAAAGTCTATATTATTGTTATTTGAATGGCTGCATTATAATGCATAATACACATAATGTACCACCAACTCTGTGGTTTCCTCTATGTTATGGACATTTAGTTGCTTCCTTTATTATTATAAACATTATGCATGAATATCTTTGTACACAAGAATAGTTGTCTACATACTATTTACTTAAGATAGACTCCTGGAAGTGTACTGGGTCAAATGGCCTGAGAACATTTAAAGATCCAGATATATTTGGCAGAATTGCTTTCCAGAACGGTGGACCTAACTTATACACCCATCAGCCAGGTTAAGTTTTATGTTTATGTAGCCTAAACTTTTAAAGACTTCACTTAATTTCATCCAGACTCTAAACTCATAAGCTGCTGGTAATTTGTATTTAGGCTTCTTTTCATGGTTTATACTCATAAAATGGGAAGCAAGGTGAATACATGCGTGCAACAGGTGTGAGGCACGACCCTGAAAGTGAATGCCTTCTTAAATTTTGCACCCCACTTGCCTCACTGTAGTCTCTGAGGCAAATAATTCATGTGTTTTTCCCAAGATCTCCATGGGGGGCACATCCAGGTGGGACCCTCCTTCACAAATCACGCTGGGTAAAGTTGAGAATGCCAGGGGGTTGGGCAATGACTCTAGATTGAATCAATACATATGGCCTCTCTCTCCTCCCTGAAAGAATGGAGACATAACCCTTCCACACCACAGGCCCCTGGGCAAATGCCAGCTCATGAGCTCTGGGGGTGTAAACTGAACCTATCAGAAGCCGGAAGTACCATTATCATACTTGCTTTGCCACGCGAAAGAATTCGAACTTATTCTGAAAGCAAAGAGTATCTGAATAGTTTCAGCTGATTTCCATTGTGGAGCGATCACACTGGTGGCAGTATGGTGGAAGAATGGGAAGGATACTAGAGGGGAGACAGAGAAAGTAATCCAGAGTCTATACCTTAGACCAGAAGACAGATGGTGAAAGCCTGAACTAGGATATTAGTGGAATGAACAGGGATGGGGGAGATGGATCTGAGAGTTTTAAGGAGCTAGAATTGTCAGAATTAGATTGGGTGAAAGTCTAGCAGGTATGTGGATGCATGACTGGATAGAAGGTGGTGACAGGGAAAGGAGATCAGGAGGAGGAGTAGGTTTGGGGGAAAAGATGATGAGTTCAGTATGAGCATGAGACCTGGATGTGTTTGCAAGATACCAAGAGGTACTAGTTATCCAGTCGGCAGGAAGGCCATAGGTCTGCAGCTCAGGAGGGAAATTGGGGCTGGAGATGTAGCTTTAAAGGGAGTCCTCATAGGTGATGGTGGACAAGGTGAGGAGGCTTACAGGAGGCTTGCCTTCAGGAGGCTTACAGACTAGAGAGGCGCTCCAGGGAGGTTCAAGCATTTCCAGGAGGAGAGAGTCATCAGTAGGGTCAGATCATACACAGGTCAAAATCAGTTAGGTAGAGGGCTAAGAAGTGAGCTCAGATACAGCAGCTAAGAGCCATTAACGACCTCAGCAAGAAGAGACAAGTGGCGGTGGGTTGAAGAGAAGAAAATGGAGTGACTATCGATAACTCATAAGAAAATTGGCTGTGAACAGAAAGAATAGGACTGGGTGAAGGTGAGATGGAGAGAAAGGCAAGAGCTCTTAGGCTACCAGAGACTTCATCGGGTCCAAATGATGAAGGGTGGAAGCCAGGAGAAAGGCAGTAATGATGCGTGAGATGTTGCTGTCAAATCCCCCTCCTGACAAAAAGAGAGCCATTGGGTTATGGACTGGGTCTCTGATTGCCCTAAACACTTTGGAATTTGATTTTCTCTTATGTTAGCAGTGTTCTCTCTTCATCTTGTCCCTTCGTTCTCCAGACAGTTTGCTTGAACTTTTGAATTTCCACTTTTGTACTTCTAGTTCTTGTCTAACTGTGACCGGCTGCTCATCCCTACAGTTTCCCAAGGCCTCTTCTTGTGCTGCTCCCTATGCTCAAGACATCCTTCTCTTTCCTTTTTCTCTGGCTCAGTTCTTGTCCTCCTCCAATATGTAGCAGAGATGTCACCTTCTCTGAGGAGCCTTCCTTGGCTCTCCTCCACGTCCTGCCTCTCAATCCTCAATTAGGTGACTTACTTCTGAGCTTCCACAGCCCCATATTTATCCTTCTCAGAGGACAAATCACTCAGCATTATCACATCTTCCTTGTCCGTCTCAGTTTCTAGAGAATGGGCCCCTTGAGGACTGTTTAGTCTGCTCGGGCTGCCAGGACAAAATACCTGACTGGGTGGCTTAAATGATAGACATTTATTTTCTCCCAGATCTGGACACTAGAAGTCCATGATGAAGGTGCTGGAAAATTTGGGTTTTGGTGAAGGCTTTCTTCCTGGCTCATAGACCTTCACACTGTGTCCTCAAATGGGCTTTCCCCTGTGCTCAAGGGCAGGAGTGGGAGGGATGTCTGATGTCTCTTCTTCTTATAAGGACACCAGTCCTATTGGATCAGGGCCCCATCCTCATGACCTCATTTAACCTTAATTACCTCCCTACAGACCCTGTCTCCAACTGTAGTCACAGTGGGGGTTAGGGCTTCAACATATGAATTTGGGGGGACATAGTTCATTTTATAACAAGGGTTCAACATTTATCCTTGTCTCCCCAAGTTCCAGTACAACATCTGATGCGTGATAGATGCTCACTATGCCTCTGAACATTTTAGATTCTCAATAAAAGTCTTTTGAGTGGAATTCCCATCGCTAATTAAATATATCAGCTGTTAAAAAACACAAAAACAAACAAATAAGCAAACGAAGAGTATGTTTGTCAAGGAGACAGCCTGCAATGCATTTTGGAATGTGAAGTTGCTGAGTGAACTTAGAGAAGTTCGCTGGCCCCCATATTCAGCCTCTCACCTGGGAAATGGAGCAGGAGACCAGGCCTAGAACGGGGGTAGCAAAGGGCCCACAGGGGGGTCGCGATGGCACAGTAATCACAAGTTACAGCCACTCGTTTGAAGTTAGATTTCTTTAATGAAGCAGCTTAAGGGATTGGAAGAGGCTCAGATCGGGTACCAGTCAGACTTCACGTGAATCCCAGGGTGGCCACAAACTAGCTGTAAACCTTGGGCAGGTTACTTGATCTCTCTGTGCCTCAGTTTCCTATAAAAGGGGGAATAATACTGACTTTACAGGATCGCTATAAGGATTAAGCAAGAAAATGTTAGTTTGAACCACATGAAATGACTGACATGCAAGTGTGTTTGACCTACAAAAATATTTTCAAATGGTTCAGCCTGAACTTTGCACCCATCAAGAAAACTTTCTGTGCTCATTTTATGATGGTGAGA